ATAAAGCTGAAAATGGATAACAAAACCGCCAATAAAATTAGATATAATTAAAAGGGGTTAATCTTTAACAATTTTAATTGGACATTAAAATTATAATTTATCAACTTGATCTAAATAATTCAGTAATCATTTCTCTCCGTTAAAAATAAGAGATTTTAAATTCAAGTCGCATGACATGCGAGTATGATAAGATAAGGGATGAAAAATGATTATCTTTCATAATACAATTAATATAAAATGAAAAACTACTGTTTGAAAATATTTTAATAAATTTATAAGATAAATTATGTTTTTAATATATAATTTATCATATAAAACAAAAATTTTTAATTAAAATGTCAAAGAAAGAGTTTTTTTTTTTTTTTTTTGACATTTTGACATTTTTTTAAAGGGTTAAATTAGTTGGGTGCTCTAAAAAACTGCCACGAGGTCTGAGCCCAAGCCCAAAGTCAAAATACAGATAACCAGACTCCGACACGTGTTCGAACAGTTTTGTCTTAAACCAGTAAATCTTTATCTCCCCCAACCCACTTATTCTCTCTGCTTCCCTTCCTCTATAAATATGAAAATTCAAAAAAAAAGAAAAAAGAAAGAGGAATTGGTGACAGTCATTTCATGGTTGCCTGATTTACCAAGACAAAGCAAAACCCCACATCAACCCGGAAAAACCAACGAACACAGCACCAAAGCAAAGCAAAGCAAACGTAAGACCTTCGTTGCTTATGTTGTCCGTGAACCCTAATCCAGCTCCAGGGTTTTACTTTTTCGATCCCATGAATATGGGTCTTCCTGGTCTTAATTCTCTGCCGCCTCCTAATCCTGCGCCTCCTGCTACTACTTCCTCCTCGACGGCGATGCCGGCCACCGCTGGGAATCCCACCTCGTTTGTTGAGGACCCCAATAAGAAGATCCGGAAGCCGTATACCATTACCAAGTCTAGAGAGAGCTGGAGCGACCAGGAGCACGACAAGTTTCTGGAAGCTCTGCACCTGTGAGTGTGTTTTGTTTGTTTCATTAAAAAAATTCGGCTTTTTTTTTCGTTTTGACTCACGGCGATGGTAATTGAAGAAAGCATTTTGCGCTTATTATTATTATTATTTTTTTTCCATTTTAATGAGAATGAGGTGGACAAATCTGGGATGAAATTTCTTTCCTTTTTTTTTTTTTTTGTTTTATGTGCGAATGAGTTCTATGTCATCCCCCACCAGATTGGAATTACGTTTTCAATTTCAATCTAAAGATGGAAACTTGATCTCTAATTTGAACAGACCATGAAATTTGGCGAAGAAAGATGCTTTTGTTAGTCTTAATTTAGTTGTATTTTTGTGTGTTGGAACTGGAAAATATGTATAACGAAATTTTTTTAGGTTGGATTGCAATTGCTTTTATTTGTTACGTAATTCTATTTTGACATTTAAAGTTACCTTGTTTGGTATATGAGAAGGGGAAGAAGATCTTGATTGTCAACTATAATTTAGCTTCCATGTATGAAACTAAGGTGCTTGTGCTTCAACTGAATGGTAGCATAGGATGTTGTTTGGCTTGCCATTGAACCTCGAGTGGAACACTTAAATTTCATTTGTCATTTTCACACAAGCATAGAATTAATTAATGAGCTTCATGTCCTTCAGCTAGGCAAGATGGTTGGAACCCAGTCAGAAGAAATTCATGTTGTGGTTTAGTCCAAGTCGTGTTTCAAGTTGTGGGTGCTAATGTAAATTTCTTTCCTTTTCTGTTTTTGTGAATTGATTCAGGTTTGATCGTGACTGGAAGAAGATTGAAGCCTTTGTTGGATCGAAGACTGTTATCCAGGTATGAAATCATAATCAAGTTGATGTAGTTCTATTTAGGGTTTATTTTCATAAGAGCATAATCTCATCATCTTTTTGGGTCTGACGGCTGGACAAATTCATATTGCGCGTTATTGTTTACGGAAGACAAAAGAATATGATTCAGCCCCTCCATGTCTTTTTTCAAAAATATGGTCCATTTTGTGGGTTTGAAATTCACTAGTTGGTATGAAATGAATTATAGCAACTGAGGTGATAATTGCATTGTGGATTAGACCAGTTTTATATTCTGAATTATGCTAAGAGCTCTACAAATGGTCCTGCATTCTTGTTAGAATTTAGTCTTGGCTTTCATTCTTGAGTAGCAGGCAACAAGCCTTTTGAAAAATGTTTGGCTGACAAGCTTCCACTTGGCAGATCCGTAGCCATGCACAAAAGTATTTTCTAAAGGTTCAAAAGAGTGGGACTAGCGAACATGTGCCTCCTCCTCGGCCAAAAAGAAAAGCTGCTCATCCCTACCCACAAAAAGCACCTAAAAATAGTCAGTATAGTCAATCATTTTGTCTCTTATCCAATTCTTTGCATGGTGGTTGTTGATCTTTAATTAACCCTTGATTGTATGTTGCATCTATGTGGCAGCTCCAAATGTATCACAAGTAGCTGGCCCGTTTCAATCTTCATCTGCTTTGCATGAACCCAATTATGCATACAGGACGGATTCATCAACTGTTCTTGGGAATCCAATTACGAATGCTACTTCCTGGAGTTTTAACACTGTTCCAGTCCCACCAGTCGGCATATCACAAGTGACAAAAGGTTTTAGTTGTTTAAGCTCTTACCTTTTCTACTTTCCCTTCCCCTGAAAAATGTCAAAAGTAACATTTTAATTATTTTTTCCTGATAGATGATGCAGTATTGGCTGGACCAACCATCACACAGAATTGCTGTTATAGTAGCAGCAATGAGAGCACTCACATGACTTGGCCAGTCGGTGAAGCAGTTGAGCGAGGGAATCATGGCAAGCCACCTAGAGGTCTATATCCTATCCCTCTGAGCTTGACAGTCCTTATCAAAGCATGACCTCTAGATTTGTTTGATCAATTTACTGTTCCTTTTAGAGTTTTATAAATTAAAATGATTCAGCCTAGTCTCATTTATTTAAGCGGCTTTTAAATTGTCACTATAATGTTGTCATATTGCATCTCCATCTTATCCTATTGTGAGTATATAATCCAGCTTTGGCTATGTGTTTGCCATTCAAGCTGATGAAGTTAAATATGTCTTTGCAACCTTGTTCATGTGCAATGAGTTCTAGCTGCCTCCATTTTGAATTTGTCATGAAGGACAATCTATTCTCATATGTCATTGCCATTGACTTCTCTTGATTGTTATGTTCCTCAAATATGCTGTCTTCTCTTTCCATTCTTTCAAAGCTTCATTCATGTTTCATATAAGGAAGGAGTCTTTTCCTGGATGGCTAATCACCTACATCTAATAGAAGTTTGGATAGGATCTTACTCGGACATGTATCAGTCATGGGATGTACCTTAGAAAAATGTAGAGCTTTTAGTGACTACTGTTGTTTATCAACTGTTATTGAATTCTAATGTTATCTTTCTATTTGATCCAGTTATGCCAGATTTTGCTCAAGTGTACAGCTTTATAGGCAGTGTCTTCGACCCCAATGCAACTGGACACTTACAGAAATTGAAGCAGATGGATCCAATAAATTTGGAAACAGTAAGTTCCTCTAATCATGATACTTTACTATTTTACCTTTTTGTTCTTTTTCCTTTTGGGGTGGTGGTGGAAGTAGTGAATTATTTAGATATTGATTATCTGTTACAACATTCTAACAATTAGAGCCTAGAAGAAGCTTCCAGGGCTTGGTTCCATGTATCCTTTCTATTCCATATCCACCAAAATAACTATGCATCAAATGTATGTAGAAACCTAACGCTTTAGTATAGTCTGCTTTGAACTTCCTTGGTTTTGAAGCTTATGATTTACTTCTGAGACATTATTTGGTTCTTTTCAGGTGTTGTTATTGATGAAGAACCTTTCCTTTAATTTGACTAGTCCTGAGTTTGAAGATCATGTAAGTGCTTCTTCTTCATACTCAGCATTTAGGTCTTATGCTTTATTTTTCTTGGTACTTATTCCCCTATGATACATCTCTTGGTCCTAAAAGAGATGGCCAAGAGGAGTTTGCATGAGTAATCCTGGACCCTAGACTTCAGAAGCTAGAGTATGCCTGTCATTTACAATACGGTTTAAAACTTCACAAGTGGCAACATCATGGGTTTAGCGATGTGAATTGTGTAGCCACTGACATTTTTTGAGTTAACATATCTAGTAAACAGGGACTGAATTAATTTATTTCTATTTCCAAACATCTGTTATCCCATTTTCTTCTGGTGAGAATCTGAATTTGGAGTCTGCGGACTTTAATTTGTGCTCTGACTTCATAGAAATAAAGTGCATGCAGGGTTGTTTTGTGCCATGACAAGGGATTTTGTTTGCTACACAAACAGGAAATATCAAAGTATGGTTGGATGACATTGTGGATTTAAATCATTTGTTAACAACTTATGTATTGAATGCAGAGAAAGTTGCTTTCTTCATATGATGTCGGTTCTGAGAGTGCTAAACTTGGTAGCGGATACAACAGTCTTCATGCTGTCAAATCAGAGGGTGCCGCATCTGCATTATGAAGTTGTCTCATCACAAAATGAGATTTCTAGTGCATAACCCTGTAATATCTCATCTTCCAGTTCATCCGAGCCCATCCCTGACATTGAAGCTCGAACTCCAGGTTTACAAAAAGAGTTCTGGGAGCTTGACTTGCTAACAAGACATAGGGATCAGATGTATGTATGTATGTAACCATGTATATGTATATGTTGTGTAGATATGATCTTCGTAGGACCTGCCAGTATGTAGGACAGCTTTGTCAATACACCAATGTATATTTTTCCCATCTTGTGTGTATTATACACCGGTTTTCTGTGTAAAGGCTGTTGTCTATAGTTCTTTGAGAGCATCGTTTGTGAGTTTTGACTGTGCACCTTTGTTGGGGCTTGCCTTGTATACCAAGGTCTTAGAACTTTTCCTTTATATGGAATGAAATCCTAAGCTTGAGAATTTGAAGTTGCTGACTATTTCATAATTAAAGAAATTATTTTATTTCTCGATCTCCTATCACCAAGAGCAAGCAAGTAAATGCAAGTGAAATTTATTTGCCAAGCAAGGAGTTGAAAGTCTGAGCAACAGACAAATAAATTGCGATATACAACATCACAAATCAGAATCCACTATCTATGACCGTACATTCCTTGGCTATGGCCGGAACCACCTAAGGAACGAATCTGCTTTGGATTTGACCTGAGTTCCATCCCAATAAGCCTTTGCAATGCCTCCGGGTGACTGCCCATGCCACCCACGTCAGGACCTGAATTGACACAATTGGTTTCACAGTGGTTATGACAGCAGTTCACAAAAAGGTGCTTTATACACCTTGAAAACAAGTACATGGCATGAGTAAAGAGACATGCTAAAGCTGGTGTGTTTATTATGTCTTTCTTCTCATTGTCCAATTCAATGAATTGATGAGAGGATAGATTCTTTTTAAGTTAGAAGTGAAAAAGTGAGAAAGTTTGAGAGAAATAATGCAGTGCTTTACCTGGGGGAATTCCAAGACCGGGAAAGTTGGGTTGCCTACGACTAAAAGGAAAACCTTGCACTGGGTTCATTTCCTGCATAAAACCACCAGTCAATGGATTGTTTGAATGAGGCAGTGGTGCACTTCCAGGGAGTCCTTGTTGCAAGTGAGGAAAATTTCCTGGTGAATGCATTTGTTGTAACATGGGATATTGTAGGGGAGGATCAAAACTGGTTCGTCCACTGTTTGGGTGATGGAATGGATGGCGGAGCATATTTGCAGGAAATTGGTGGTTTGGGGGAGGATCACGGTGGATCATCTGAGAATTAATATTAGGAGGTTGAGAGAATGGTCCAGCATGATTCAACTGAGGGGGATGAAGCTGTAAAGAAGATGGCTGGACATTAAGATTGTGAAAAGGTATATCTGGCTCCCTCTTATCATAAGTACCATGAAGAAACGAGGGGTCCTCTTGACCTCCCACAACAGGCCTTAGTGCAGCTAGTTTCTCAACAATGTCAACTGGTTCCTCTTGGGCAGGTAATAATTCAGCTTTAACTGAAGTTCTAACAGGCATGAAGTTCTGCAGGCTGACAGGATGACTGACAGCAATCAAACTATCCTCTTCAGGAAGCCTAATATCAGCAGACTCATCAAATCCACCAAGTTTAGATCCCAATTCAGCTCTATGCTGTGATGAATCGGGTACAGTTCTATGATCATCAAAGCCTAAAAGATGCTCTCCTATTTCATCAGATTTCATGTGCTCTCTTTGAGTAAATGGAAAAATATTGGTTTTGTAATCACTCATGTTTGACCCAATGTGAATCACGGAAGAGAGAACACCATCATCTTTAAGAGGAAGAGGTAACCCATTACATTCTAACGGATCTACTGTAGTGGAAATCATTGAGTCATTCTGGAAAGAAGCTGGTGCTCCCACTGACTCTAGTTCCTGCATGAAAGCACTTCCAAAAAGTGCTTCAAGAGTCAGAGTCTTCCCTGAACTGGGAACATTTTCTGCTTTCACCTCTTTTGAATCATGAGAAGCATTATCCATGCTGGTGGCTACTTCGCTAAATTGTAGTTTTTCCATAGGCCTGATGTCTAGCTTAACAGATGCCATATCTTTCATGCCAGTGCCCTTCTGCAGCAATGAAAGTAGATGATGTGATGCCTGATCGTCTATTTTTCCCTTTTGCTGCTTGGTCTTCTCATCAGGAATGCTCCAAACTTGCACGGGAGGAAGCAAAGTTGGAACGTTTTCACTGCTTTCTGACAAAATTGATTTTTCAAGGTCTTCGCATGTGAGGACAGCTGGAACTGCTGCTGGTTTATTGATATTATTAACATTGCATGCCTGCTCAGAGTTTTCAATCCTAGAAGATAAACTTGATGCTACATGCCTATCAGCAAGTTTGGGGCTTTGGAAGGTAACATTTGATGTGACATTCTTAGTAGCTACATCAGAATCCTGGGCACCACCTCTTTCACTCCCCTGAATAATTGACAGCAAGTCATTTGACCTGGCAGATGAAAGATCCTCAACTGGTTTCCTTCCTGCAACAAAATGAAAATTATAAGAATCAACACTAGAATTATATTATCCCTCAATAAATTAGAGATGTTCTGGAGCTAGTAACATTGAAAATTATGCCACCAACCTTCTTCAAGAAACCAGCGAGCAAACTTAGAAGAATGTACAGTAACAGGTGCCTGTGTCTCGTCTATTTTATTATTCTGATGCTAAAGGAAAGAGAAAAGATATCAAAAGATTCAAGTAAGATACTTAATGCTAAGAACCACCTTTATAGAGACCAAACAGTAATCAAAAAACAAGTAGGATAAACTAAATATATGGCAGAAAGCTAAGATAAGGATAAAGGTAGAAAAAAATGTAGCTTGAAATCATCAATACCTCAATGAAACTAGCGGAACCACCTCCATTTAGTGTCAAAGCACTACCAAAAATCTTGTCCAAAACTGAGGTTGAATTATCCCGTTTGGATATGCCCACAATGTCACTCATTGGCAACTTCTTTGGATCAAGTTCAATGATTTCACTGTTCTCTGAAGGTTGGAAAGCTTCTGCGAGATTGGATGACTTGTGTATTTCAGAACCCATGACTGTCGTGTTTGATACATCTACATCTAACGAGGAAGGGATAGTCTCTTCACTCTGAGTATTGGCTGAAGTAATGCTTATGCTTCCATGCTGCTGCTCACTTAAACTCAATTGTTCAGCATGCTGTTTAGACTGCTTTTCTAAGAGAATATCAGAAGTTCCATTGGGTGGGTGGGTGCCTTTGACATGCACAAGGCTACCCTCAAGTTCAAAACTCCCGATCTATAAAAGAATAGCATCTCATGTATTGTTAATAATGAATGAAGCAAAAAACAGTATGACAAATAGAAAACTCAAGATTGCTAAAGTATCATTTAAAGCACAATTTCTATAGAAGCCTCAGCACCAAGTTGCATGGTATGAAGTATACGAGTATAACTACTGACTCAACAACACTACTCAACTGAAGACTCAAAACAAATATACTCATCCAGAGCATACAGAAGAGATGATATTGAAGACAAACCTGTGATGAATCAGAATGAATTGAAGGTTTTGTTCCAAAATTTCCTTCTAAAATTGTGCTTGTAAAACCTGGGGGTACAAGAGGCCTGGCTGCAGGAGTTTGTAGGGGAAGAGAAGATTTTCCAGAATCATTTCCTGGGGCCAATGAAATTGCAAGTTCATCTGTTTCCTTGCTTCTGTTGAGAGGTCCCTTCTCATCTTTGGAGTCCTCCAGTAATTCACTAATATCAAAGTCATCTTTACGCCTTTCTGGATTGATCTTTTGCTTGTCTAGAAATTCTTTTTGTTGTTGCTTCCTGAACAACTCAAAGGAGGCTGAGACAAAAGTCACCAAATTTCAGAATTGGTCACAAGACAAACAAATCCAGAGCAGATAAGCAGATAAGAAAGTAACAAACAAAACCTTCAGCAGGAGATCTTCTATAACAAAGACCTACCTCTTCTTTTTCTTTCCTCCTCTGCTCTATCTTCACTAGTACATTCAAAAGAACCAAATGTTTCGTCATTGTATGAGTCATGGGTATCCCTCCGTGTGTGAGGTACTGCCTGAATTTTTTTTGGAAACAACACAATTACAATTCTACTGTGAGTTTTGCTGCTTCATTTTACATACCAACATAGATATAATAGCACCATAGTTTTAACAGTATTATTACCAACATAATTATGATTGCCAGCAGTATGTTCCTCTTATCATCCCTGAAATATTAACCAGAAACAAAGCGGTACCTTATAAGGGCGGGGTGGATGATATGGCTCATTACTCCGATTAAGCTGGTAATGATCATTAGATCGAAACTTTGGAGCTGATGCCCCTGCTGCATATCCAGATGGTCGTGGAAAAGAGCCACTACCTAGAAGCCCATCATGCTCAGGAACTTGCCAAGACCGCTTAGATTGATTGCCATAATGCCTTCCAGAATCTTTATCAATTAAAATAAGTCAAGGCATCAGATATAATAATTTGATGGGGTTCTACTGAATATAAGACAAAGTCCATGGAAAAATCCCATCTCCTTTGTAACAAGATATGAACTGACATTCTGAACCATAGCATGTAAATCATTTAAAGCACAATTCAGAAACATTTAACAGAGAATTCTATAAAGAAGCAAGAAAACAGAGCTAGAGTGTGTCATGAAATTATAAAACAACAATATAACATCTTTCAGATGGCAGGTTCTTCACAGTTTTAATGATGCATGCGTAGGCAAGAATTCCAACATTCATTTAAATGAAAGTTAGGAAACTCAGAAAATGTCTAAAGCAGTCCACACAAATAGAGCACAACAAATACATCAAAATATTAACAGATTAGCAAATTAATCATAAAAGTCACCTGAATCCCAATCAGATTGAGAGTCACTGTCTCTATCACCCCGTCCACTAGAGCGACTGTCCCATCTCCCATTGATTCCCCGAGAATAGTTTCCTTGCTCTCCTCTGGTAGGTGGAGATGAACCATACTCATTACGCCTTAAACCATGTAATGACAAACTGCCAGAAATTCTCTGCCGATCTTGTGATGCATCCTCAAACTCACTGTTCATAAAAGAGTCACTTAGAGTACGAGGCAAGAGCAAAGCATGAACAATAATAAGGACTCAACAACTGTAGTCTGTACTTAGATATCGAACCTCATAAGTGATTGGTCGAATCCTGTGGGTAACTTCTTGCAAACATCCAATTCTTTCAATGATAGAAGAAAATCTCTTGAATATGAAAATTTCAATTTCCTGAATCATGAAATCAAATAAGCAATCAATCAATCATCTAGAAGGTAACAACACAAAAACAAATATATCATGTAGCCAAGAAAACCCAACAAAATGAAAGAAGCCATTACTTTTGAGATTCACTATTTTGTTTTTGAGCATGGTGATCCATTGTGCTTCGTTCCTTTGTTTCTAAGCTCATTCTCCAAATCTTTTGATATCAGTACCTCTCAATACTCAAAACTCTTACTCCTTACAACTTGGCGTACACCATGACATCAACAATCCAATCCGCTAAGCAAAGCAAAAAAACCCAACTCCGCAAAGCATCCAGATTCCACCAACTAAACCAGGTTGCAATTAGGATACCAAAACTAGCTCACCCATCATCCGTTAGGAGCAAAACCAAGCAAACTAAAAATACCCAGCTAGTATAACACACGCCCAAATTGCCCCTGCCCAAGATTGCCAAATCCCAGACAAACCAAAGAAGATTCTTTTCTAGCTCAACCGATCGGTATGTACACAAAATCAGTGCCTCCCTGACCTGTACCTGAATCTCCTGACACCCGCCATCTAAATCATTGATATTCGCCCAAATAATCAAAGAATTGAATCAACTACAGCTCCTAATCACATCAAACGAGAATAAACATCTGTGTAATCCGAGGACCGCCCAGAACTAGCGTTTTACCTGGATCTGAAAAGGTACAGAGAAAGGGGGAAGAAAAAGAGTGCGGATTCCGATCATTTGACCTTTTTCAGCACCTTTTCTTAATCGGCCGATGACAAAGTTTTTAACTTTTTTTTTATTTTATTTTTTCGGAGAGATTTTGGGAGAGACAAGACTGGCCATGCGTCCTCTCTCTGACGATAGAGGAAATGACGTTACTAACCTCCACGGTAACTAAAATTAAAACTATTTAAAAAAACTTTAGGTTGCATATTATTTT